TGAGATGGAATTATGCAATGCTGATGGTAAGGGGAAAGATGAAGAAGTGAGAAAAATTGTCACCCTCATCACTGAAAGTCATATAAAAGGCAAAAGAAAACCAAAGCTGGATTGAGACAACACAGTTTAGTGGCTATATTCAAACACAGAGGAAGAAGAGTGCATGTCTCATAAAACTAGACAGCATCAAAGCAATAAGAGCATTGCAGAGAGAAAATGTTTGAGAACTGGTTAGAATTTAATGGGAGAGAATAACAAGGGATTGCATGGAATTGTGATCATAAGATGGTAGGGTGTATGTGGTAGGTTGAGACTGCATAAAGAAAATGTCTGGCATGAAATTTGGAAAGCAGATGTATGAGAATGACCACTGAGGGCTGTCTGTGTCTTTTCAACAGCTAAGCTGGAGCATGATAGCCAATGACAACAAAGATGGGGAACTGAGTACGTGAGAAAATGCTGCCTAGTAGCTTGTTTTATTGTGTTAGAGTTGGCAGAAGCCCAAAGCTGGTAGTTCTCTAAGACACAATGAAGTATGAAAAGTTCTGGCAGGCAGTGTAGATAAAACAAGACTGAGGACAACTGGGACTCCAGGCCTGATTTAATGAATCTAGAATGTAGAAGGAAAGAGTCAGACAACAGCAAGAAGGGAACCCACTTTATAAGGTACACTGGGGAACAAGATAATGCGTAGAAGTTGCTTCTGTGAGGGCAAGCAAATAGTTATCAAAACACCAATTATTAGGAAAGCTGTTTAAGGAATTCATAAACAAGAATGTGTTTTGAACCCCAGTGGTCACTGGCAGACAGATTCTTCTTACCTAATTTCACTCATCTAAGAATTGTCTCTCCTAAAACAGCTACCTTAGTGCCCTCTCATGTCAGTGGACACAATAGATACCAAAAAATACCTAGTAGAGATTCAGACTATTTAAAAATTATTTCATTTTGACAGCTTGAGTTGTCCATTAGACATGCATATTCCTTGTCTATGCCTCTTTGTCTCTACAGGAAATCTCTATAGGAAATGTACAATTAGCTTCCACCAGATACCTAACTGCTCTATGACTAAGTTAAACAACGTTAATCCTTCCTCAAATTTCCTAAGACTCCAATTCATGATTCAAGTTCTTCTGTCAGTTGTGTTAGTGTTAGCACATGTTGTTAAAGATATGAAAGAACATCTTTGATAGGAAACAACAAGGTTTTCAAATCTGATAGTAAACAACAATACTAACAAGTTCTTACAACAAGCTCATCTGTTCTTGACAGAATCCCTCCTGAGAGGCATGGACAAAGCGCATAAGTTAAGGTTACAAAGTACTCTTCTATTATGAAACATAAACAGCTTTAAAAAAGGAAGAAATATAAAATTAGGAAATAAATAATTTTTTTTTCAAGAAAGGAGGCTACAAGTAGAGACCAAAGGATTTATACCAAATTTTTTGAATGGTTTTAGCAAGCAACAAGAAAAGATGGTGAACAATGATGAAGCTGAATCAACAGAAGGAACAGGCAGACTTCTTAAGTTAGTACAGAATACCATGAACAACTTAAAGATCCTGTTTACAACATGCTGAGGGAGCATTATGACAGACGAAATATAGAGTAGATAGGTGCAAAGTGACTCATATTAAAAGGAAACATTTTAGTGACTCACATGGTAACAATCAGGGAAGCAAAGGTGTATCATGGTGGATACATCTGCTTATTGAAAAACCTGCACAATGAGCAGGGATAGTTACAAAAAAAGCAGGATGTTAGGCTGTGTTGAGATAAAGACAGAAAATGATGCTGAAAATATTGTTATTATCTAAAACAGTGAGGCGTCCACACTGTGATCATGGCACTGAGTTCTGATCACAAAATCTCAAAGAGATTAGTGTGGAAATTGAAATCGTTGGGAGATGGGCAGTAAAAATAATTAAAGGGAAAAAAAACTTGTTTATGAACAGAGATAAAAAGGACACAGACTACAACAGGAGTGCAAACAGCTGCCTGCTTTAGAAAGCCATTACAATTTCTAGAACTCTCGGTGTGTGCATAGACGATGCTGCTTAGATTAGCAAAATATCGGAAAACAGTGAAAACACTGAAGCTTTAACTACTAAGTGTAATTTAAAGAGCAATCCCTAATGTGGGTAGTTTAAAGAGCATAAATCGGAAACATCTATTTATTCTTAAAAACTAGAGGAATAGGATTATAGTGGAATTGCTTGTGTACATTAAAAAGCAACCTATTTACAACACAGAAAAAGAAGCACTGCTTTGTACTACGTGTAAGTAACCTATGAACTCATTCCAGGAGAAGACATTGAGGTTTTAGTCTGTCAAGTTTGAAAAAGTTGTATGAATAAATAATGCATGTAGTCTATGTAAGTGAAGCTGACTAAAAACAGTATCTGAGGCGTTTAAGTCTTCAGGCTTCAGGCAAAAAGTAAGCACTAGCACGCATTAGCAACTGAAACAGGCTACAGAGGTTCAATTATTGTGACTCAGCTAACAAGCCACAGCTTACTATCATCGCTTGCAATCACTTCTCTTTCTCGTGCAGTACTGAGTTTCCAAGAAAGTGACAAGTTGAAAGTTAAACTAGGATCATCTGCAACTGGAACATTTATTTCCTCATTTATTTCTCCGTGATATTCTCAAAACTTTACACAAACTTGTCTTGTGCTTTTCTTTCTCGCTTCTGAAATGTCTTTTAAAAAGTTACAAGACAACAAATGCAGTGAGACACCATTTTCAAAAATATTTCTAAAAAGCCCTCTGTGTTTGAGCACTCAGTTCCTCTGAAAACAAGGTTTTAAACTTATGACTAAATACGCTATCATTAGCCAAACACTATAGTTTGGCGAGGTCTTTACCCAGGCAATAAGGTAAATATAGGATCTTTTTATAGCTTCTATAATTCTGTTTACTTTTCAAATGATACAGCAAGTTATATAGTACTAGCTCAACTGCTTTTGACTTTCCACCAGCTTTATTCATGTGAGGAAACTGGCTTTCATGCCTCTTTTCTGCTCCTACTGAAATCAATGGCAAAATTTCCTCTGACTTTCTTCAGTAAAAGCAGAAGAGCCAGTAGAGGGAGCACAAATACATAGAAATAATTTTCTGTGGTACCTATAAAAATGATAATGTGTACTATTTTTTCATATAGTATTTGCATTACTTTCCCCCTCCCCATCCCCCCACCCCCCCATCAAAACCACAGTCTCAGTCAGGCTCTAACAGATGCAAGCAAGCAGGCTCTGTGTCCTTTGGTGGCCCTTCCTTCCCCTAGGACCTCAGGACTCTGTGTGAGAGGCACAGGCTGGACCCTGCAAAACTGATCTTGCAGAATTATGTCTTCTACTCACACAGCACTGCTGGGCAGACCAGCGCAACACGGGGCACATCTTTGGCTCTTGGACATATCCAAAGCTCTGCTGACTGTCCGCGCCAGCTGATTGTCGCACATGAGCGTGCAGTTTGGGTGAACCGCTGCAATACAGCACAATGCGGCTAAACAGAGCCTTTCTACCTCAAACCCCTGCTCTCATTCAGCAAGCTGCAGGCTTCAGCAGCAGTTTGTCCCTTTATGTGAGCCCAGTGACACTAGCTGTGCAGAGAAAGGTCACACCTCTGACGCCTCTCTGCCCACTGGTACTACTGGCGGACATTGCCTGGAAGAGGCTGCTTTGCTGCAGGACTCGGAAGGCGCGATGCTCTGCAGGTGAGAAGGTCTCAGGGAATAATACAGCATCCCTATCCTCCTCTTTACTTCTAAATGTCGTGAGTTTCAAATGGGATCTTAGGATTGTGATGCTTTTTGAGAGCTTCCCCCCATAAAGGAGGGAAGGACCTCATCTCTTCAGGGGACTGACTCAAAAACAAACACTCCACCTCACACACCCCCAGGAAACTAAATGCAAGCTGATGAGTTTCTTATTCCATTGTCAGGCTTTCCTGTGCTGGAGAACACAGAGCCTGCCCTCCCATCCATCCCGCTTTGTTTAAAACCATGTACATGTGACAGCTGCAAAAGCACTTGCCAGGAGTTTAAGTCTGCTCCCACTAAAGAAAATAGAGTTAGATAAATGACAAGTACTTCTGAAAATGCCTCTGCTAGATACCATAGGGGATAGGATGGAAAAAAAGAGAGTGTAACCATTTGGATGTGACACATTTTGAAAACAAACAAAAAAGTTACCTTACAGATTGTCTCTCTACCTCTGAATTTGAAATTTTAAAAAAATTATAAATTTGGAGTTCAGGGGACCCTGGGATTCTCAGAAACATACAAAAGGCTGCTACCTGCAACTGGAGGTGTAGGCTGGACTAGCAAATAAGCACTACTAGCAATAGGAATGCTAAGCTGAACATCTAAGTGAGTGACACTTTTAGAAGTACCTTTTGATGTCTTTTCCATCCTCAGTTTCTTCTCTTTCAGAGAAAAAAGTCAGCACTACAATTCTTTGCTCTACAGATGTAGAAAAAACTAATGAATGTGACTTTAGAGTACTATAAAAAGAACTACAGAAACCTTTACGGACCTCAGCCCAGTTGCTGCACACACCCTGAAGGCTGTGAACTACTTGGTGCCTTGCAGTGAACGATAATTTCCCTAAGAATACTTTCTGTCTATGCAAATATGCACAATCATATCTGATTTTCCAGTGAAGAAGACTAATAAGATTTATATTTTTGTTTTCTCTGCACGTTCCAAAACATTTCAAACCCTAGTCTGCTGGGTGATCACTAACGAAGAACTGAACTTTACAGGCCAAGTGGGCCTCTCCTGTCTCATATTC